ATACAATAGATAAGAGATAAAATCAATTTAAAATACAAAAAGTATAACTAAATCACAGAATAAAATGATTTAAAAGCTGCTGTTCTTCAAAAATTTTTTCCAAAGAGAGTTCCTAAGAGAATTAAGCGACGCTATTTTCCGTATTGATAGCGGTAAGCTGTTCCAGGCTTGACAGGCAGTCACAGTAAATGTTCTTCCTCCTTCAGTTTTACGTTTGATAACAGGGCGAGCAATAACAAAGTGTATAATCATAACACGTTGGTTTCTCATTGTAAGCGTTTGAAACATTGGTGCTGTTGTGTATCTTTAGAGTTTGATTGAGTTTGTTGCTAAAAGAAGAAAAAGAAGCCGGATAATCAATAAGGAAATTTACTCGTACTTTCTACTTATTCTCTTATTGTTGCTTCCAGCGAAAATTATAAAAGGCTGCATGTTTCAGTCCTATGACTATTTATGATTGCCGTAGTTGTTTATTTACGTTTATTTCTTGAAGGATTACCAAACAATCAAACTGACTGAATTATTAAGATAGCGCCTGCATGTTAATTGATTTAAGCACGAAGTCCACGAAGCCCATTTAGTTAAAACATTTTTGAACTTCTTTTAAGTAAAGAAGACAATTTTTCTAAGTAAATACGATAACTAGTTTGATGTCTTTAATAAAGCTAGAAGGCATGTGTCCCTCTTAACACTGAGTTAGCTTATTAAAAAATAAACTTCTATGATACAGCTGCTCACTCCACATTAACATTGCTCGGCGGATCACACTACATGAGCGCGATATAAAAAAAAAAAAAACGAAAATTTAAAAGAAATATCGATCGTGTATTTACATAAAGCAAAAATATCTAGAATTTCTTAACCTGTAGCAATATTAAAGGTTTTGATCGCGTTTTCAGCGTTAACCCGCAAACTAGCTAGCTATGTATTTCTGTTTATATCTCAATACTCAGCTAAGCTAATTCCTTTTCCTGAATGTTTTGTGTCGGCGGCGTAGTTATTAAGATTTATTTCGCTTCAATCATTAGCTTATTGAATACGAGAAAACAGAATTGTGCTTGAAAATTTACATACAGAGGAACCCGGTTAATACGGACACTAAATTTGCAGTATTATCTGGTTGTCTATTAAGTTGGCTCTCATCACAACAAACGTTACGGACACATGTTTAAAAACGAGCGGATAAATAAAGTATGCCACTTGAAAAAAAGGATGTTTTAAAAAGCCTTAACTGTGACTAAAGTTTCAGTAAACTGAAGAAACCTCACGCTCATTCAAATAAATACTCAAATGCTTCACACTCAAATAATTGTGCTCTTGTTTAAACACCACAATATAATCATTTAAAATAGTCCGCGAACTTAATAAAATCCCATTTAGCTTGAGAAAACTTTCGTGTTCTTTCAAGACACAATCTTCACAATCGTGGCAAATGAAAAAAATGCATCACGATGACAAACAACAGTCGATGTCCTTCGCTTCATTCACTCAGACATGTCTGTTGTCCGTGTTAACTGCTGTCTGTATACTGTGAATGTAGGGAAAAAATACATGAGGTTATCGTCACGGAAAGTTCAAACTGCTCTCGGTGTTTGTATAACTGGGTGCCCACGGCAGAGCTGGATTCGACTGTATCCATTATTGAGCCATACCACTGCACAACACAAAAACCTATCGAAACAATAATTCATATCACTGGGCATTCGTCCAAACGCTGTAGTGTTGATCATAACAAATAAACATTACAAACTTTAATGATAATTGCGACTTCCTTTCACCTGCAGAAAGTTCAGACCGACATATGGTCGAATATATTAACATTTAGTTATTCAAATTATAGTTGCCAACCTTGTAAGAAATGAAGTCGACGACAAAGGGCTTCAATACGATAACATTTATGCCTGAGCTGATTCTAATTCTTTGTCCATTCTATCATTGATTAGAAGCCAAGCAAGAGCGTGAAACTGCGACAATTACGTGTTTCGGGTATGTATTTTGAAACAAAACTGTATTTTAATAAAATATTCTGAAAAATCCCCAAACATCACAAACGAATCAGCTTGTTCTGCATAAGAATATGATAAAGTATTTTTTACCAGGCTTAGCGTCATTACTGTTTCAAAGATTCGTATTTCTCGTTAACATTGTCATAAATGTAATGAGCGAAACATTTCTTAAACGATATGAAATATTCATTTAGCAATTATATATATGTATTCATATTTACGCAAAAACAAGTCAAAAATTGAACCTTTTATGGCCCTAGGATATGATGTACATTAAAAATGAATTATCTAAAGTGTAAGCGGGTGGTCATGAAATACTAAATACAATATAATATAAAACATCTATTAGTTGTGTAAGAATTAGCCAACGTTTTCTATTTATGAACATGAACGAGTAAAACCTTAATTAAAACCAACTGAAGTGATATAAATTAGCAAGACCTTTGTTTAGTGATTCATTACGTTTTCACGTCTCTTCAGAAGTGCACAATATTCCAGATGGTATTTGCAAAGAATTACTAGCTGTTTCCCTTCACATTAGAGCAGCGGATTCAAGGTAAGATATTTGATCGATTTTAACTGCTCAGTAACATCACTGGCACCCGGTGGCAGTCTGAACTGAGTGGCGATATCATGTAAAACATCTGATCTGAACAGTCGCCAAGCTTAGATCTAAGAACGACTCAACGCTATTCTCGCAGACACTAGAAGCGATGAAAGCATCCTTTAACGCTTCACATCAACGACAGTTTTTAGTACAACCTCGGCGAGCTGCGGCTAGTTTGGCCATACTGAAAACAAATAGCGTGTGAAGAAAATATACCGGTCCATCCTTAATGTGGCAGATGTATTGGTCACCATCATAAATATGCACGAACAGAGCTGGTTCTTGTCAGTTAAGCTTTAACGTAAGTAAATCAAGTACATAAACGACGTTTCGCATGCACGAAGAAAGTCAAGCGTACAAAGCCAAGACGAATCGTTAGAACAGTGCAAATGATGGTTAGTTTCAGAATGATATCTTTTATGCACTTCCCTAGTTATGCAAATGATCCGTTGAAAATTTTACTCCGTGGTAGCTACGTATTGCATATACCGTGAGTTTTTATATTATATGATATTTTACTTGATCCATCATTTGCTAGAGTTTATTAACAAAAAATCATAACCTGAGAGATGGAGCTTTGGAAAATTGCAAACCCTAAGGTTGTTGTTATCGAAAACAATAGCCTGTGTTAATGTCATGCATGAACTTATCATGTTCGATTTTTATAACAAGTAGAATTAATTTCTTAATGTAAAATAAACTTCTTTTTAGAATTGAAGAGATGTGACGAAAACAACACGCACGTCACGGGTGTATATAGCTTTTTATCTTACTATATTGCTGCTGCTTCTCTATCCGTCCATTTGTGTTTGTCTTTTCCGAGGGAATTTTCACATTGAGATAATCTCTTAACCTTCTTTCACATCTATTCATTTGTATTCTGAATAAACCTTTATTGTATTGTACCAAAATTGGACATTTTAGACATTTTGTCGCTGTAATTTTTCGCTAAAAATATATTGTTTTTCTACGATCATCTTGGTCTTTCAAAAAAAGCCGATTGTTAGCTGAATGTTTTGGTCTAATAAAATTCCTGTTCACAGGACCGAAGGGCACACTTAATAAGGAAATAAGTTCGTTGGGCGGTAACTTTTGGAATGAGCACGCCAAATCATTTTAGAGGACTTGCGCTCCGGCGTTCTGACGCTCTCGTGTTCAGCTCTTGTTTAGGTCGAGTCCTCTTATCCTTGATAAAGGAGCCTGTGAAGGAGACAGATTTTGTGACACGATCAGAAACTCTATTTCAAGCATGAACATTGTCAAAACCATAGCTGATACCACAAAATACCCAGCGAAATTTGCTTTTTATCACCGAAGCCAAATGTTGTCTTCCTATAAACGAGGTCGCTGGACCTTACCAGCTATAAGGTAGCTCTTATTTTCTGATTGTATATAGTCAATCAGAGGAGGGGGAACATGCAGTCAAAAAGAGAACATCAATGAAAGTGATTTTTATACGGTTTTAAGGAATACCGTCCTGTGGCATCAGAAGTTCAAATACTAGGTATGAAACGAGTGATGTACCAAGGGAGGCTGTAGGCGAGTGTGTACACGCATTTCTCAGCATTATATTTTTAAGAGAAGCGACATCACATTTATATACTTTTCAAAGAAAAAACTAATGCCGATTACGGCAGGATGACTTCAGCTAATTTATCTTTAACTGGTTTAGGTCGAGGAATTGTCTTTGTAGTATTTTTTTGTAGTATTTGGGGAGAATGGTCTGTATAAACATTAATGGAAGCCTACAAACAAAATGTCCTTATGTCATGCGCCTCTGGAGGAAGCATGGAGCAATGCTGATTTCTACGAACATTTTACATTTACTCCAAGTTAGCTGAATCTCCAAAACGGTTTTATTTTTATTTTTAGATTTCTTTCTTGTCACCTACGTTGTATCCATGTTAACATGAACAACAGCACAGCTTCAACTCCGTTACCACCCAACTATGGCAAAGCAGCATTGAATGAACTTCTTCCTGTTGCCATAGCAATAACTCTGGCCAACGGACTGGTGTTCGCGTTATTTTACAGAAGGAAAAGTCTTCGAACTTCATCCAATTACCTGTTGCTTGGTTTGGCGGTTTGCGACTTCCTTACAGGTGCAATCAATATTCCATACTTCATTGTTTTCAGTTTCGAAGTTGTTCCGCAAGCCATTCAGAAAGACTATTCTTATTGGCTGTACATTCTGCATACTCTGATGTCCGTGTCAGCTGCTTATCATATTCTCGTCATAACGGCGGAAAAGTACTTGGCGATTGTCAGGCCACTGAAACACTATCTGGTAACCAAGAAAATGGCGTTGAAAGTGTTGGCTGGGATTTGGATCACATCTGCATCCATTGCTGTCATTCCGTTACTTTGGAAAAACAGCCAGTCACGCGTTTATTTCATTGTCCATTCTTCGGTTTGTCTTCTAGTAGTATTTGTTCTCCCATACGCATTTATGATTTATGCGTACATAGTTATGTTCAAAGCGATTACCAGTAAAAGAAGACCATCGTCAACTCACAGAGATACGTCAAGGTTACACAAGAAAAGCATCCATGATCAAAAGTGCATTTTAGTTTTCGCAGTGATGGCGGCGGTATTTGCATTTTGTTGGTTGCCCTATTTCACCATTGCGCTGCTACTTAACATAGAGATCCATCTCAAGTCAAATATTTCTAAACCGACTTTAAAGACCACCAAAGTGCTTGCCTTCGTTCGATACATGACATCCATCATTAATCCTCTGCTTTATACCTTTTTCAAGCGCGACTTTTGGCAGGCTCTACGAAATCTTCCCGTCAAAAGCGGGTATATGTACAGAAGAACCTCGTCGACGTACTCGAGAAGTCGATCGCTGCCGCATGATACAGTGACAAGAAAAAAGAATTCTATTGCCGACAATTCCATGCTATCTCGGCTCTCGTGGACTGGAGAAACTACTTCAAGAGCAAACGATAAACTGAAAACGAACACCGCAGAAGAACACATGGTTTTCATATCTTCCGTGTAAGAGCACGAGAAACACGTTAGTGGTAGAATGACCTTGCGTTACGCCGCTTTCGGTATCAGCAATCACAGATTATTTGTACACAATAACTCTGCTTGCAAGTACTTAAAAAAATTGTCTTGTTTCACGAAAAAAAAAGTTTAGTTTTGCAGTCTCTTGCGCAAAATGTTCCGACTAAAAGTGTTCCGCTGAAGTTCTTTAATATTTGCGAATATTTTTTTTGTCCAGTTCAGTTAGTATAGGTAATCACATGGTTTCGAGTTCAATTTGATTTGCACGAGTGAGGTTTTCAAAAACGGGCCGCTTCGGCAAGTGGAATATTCAGCTTTTTTAAAAACTCACAAGTGCTAATTAATTCCAAATTGAACTAGAAAAACCGTATGACTACTTATTAATAATATAAACATGAAAAAATTCGCGTGGAGGAAGTGTCGGAAGATCTTTCTTGAAGCCATTTTTTCTCATTCGAGAAAACTTTTTTCAAAGTTTCCGCACTAAATTTTCGCCATCACTTTGCGTGATATCATTGGCTTAGAAATTTCCTATTTTCTTTCAGCCAATCATAATCTAGGATTACGATGTGTAATTTGCACTGGTGTTACACTTGAACTGCATTGCTCTCAGCCAATCAGAATCGAGTAATTTTTTCATGTATTTAACAAATTGACGTCAGTTTTTTATGCGTCTGTCCTCTTACTGATGATAAATTGCGTCATAACATACTCAAAGTGGCTGTGGAACCACGAGCCGCAGGCGAGTGGTTCCGCAGTAAACTTTGACAATGTTATGACGAAATTTATCACCAATAAGAGAACAGACGAATAAAAAACTGACGTAAATTTGTTTTTACAATAACAAGACCCCAAAATGGCCAAATACCGGGATAAATGAGGGAAAAAGACGCCGTAAACTTGCCGTAAACAAAGATAACTGATTTTTTTTCAAACTGACGCAAACATTGTCAATAGCTTTTCTCGCATTTTGATTGGCTACTTAAAAAAGTCCATTAAATATCATTGGTTAAAAAGTTGACAGTTTGACAGCTGAAAGTTTAACTTGAAAGCTTGCATGTACTCTGTACTCTTATTGATGATAAAAATGAGCCAGTCAGCGCGCGGGAAATTAGACAGTTATTGTAAAAATTATTATTTAAATAGAGCGGTTTTCAATTGAGTGTCGTAAAACCAAAACCAAACCAATTACTTACCAATTAGACTACTCAGCTAATCTCAAACCGTAGTAAAACCAAAACCAAAACCAAAGTAATTATATTATTATATATACTAATAATTCTAATAATAATAATAATGATGATACTAGAAATTAATTTAGTAACAAAGGAATTACAAAATCAGTTGAATTGCATGGAATACAATAAATATGTACTTAGCTATCTCACGTAGATAACTAGAGTGAAACCTGTATTGAGGACGTTCATGCTAATTGTTTCTGCGCATCCTTACTACGCACGCAAATTCACACGCCACGTCATGCGTGAGAGCGCGCACTAAGTGATAAAATGAACAATGATAGGGCAGATGACCATTGTTATAGCTTTGCCTGGATTTAATGGTCTTGGACGTTCAGTGACCCCTACCAGTTGACTAAATTCACTTAATAGGTCCACTTAAACAATATTTGACAGAGAACATTTCACTTCAAAGATCTAATTGCAATATTTCTGGGCTTACAGACACTGTTGCCTTATTCGCTAACGAAGCCCGATTTTTTTTCAGATTTAAGGTGCTCTTCCGGGCATGTTCTCTCCAAAACGAAGTCTGTGACCCCCATCTTTCTTACAATTATGACATAACTAACTCATTATCTTACAGTGGTAAAAGTCTCAGAAAAAAAAAATCAATGTTTGAAAATTTTCGCGCGAATGTCCTTAAGCGGACACCCTTGGGACCTTCATTAGTGTCCGCTTAAGGACGTTCGCGCGAAAATTTTCCAGTCGATAGATTTTTTAAAATAAATTTACTGTAGTCAGATAAGGAGTTACTTGTGACAGAAATGCAAAAAAAAATTGGTGGTCACCGACTTCGTTTCAGAGATGAAGCGTGTGGAAAACTACCCTGATTTTGAAAAATTGGCGCACGTAATTCAGCGTGATCTACAGGGGTTTATAGTTAAAAGGTGAGTCAACGGAGGCAAACGATCTTAGTCATATATTGTAGAAGTGGGTTTGTTGCGTAAATAATTCCAAATATTACCAACGTTTTCACAAAACTTAGCCTTTCAAGAGACATTTGAAACCGTCGCACATATAAACGAAAAGCTATTAAAAAGAACGGAAGGCGATGGGGTGTCTGGAAAACCCGAATAGCGAATAGCGAATAGTCGCGAATAGCGAACAGCGAATGGTCCCGAATAGCAAATAGCGAATAGTACGAATAGTGCGAATAGTCTCGAATAGTGCAAATAGTGGCGAACAGTCTCGAGTAGTGGCGAATAGTGGCGAATAGTGGCAAATAGTGACAAATAGGGTACCCAGTATCTCGCAGTCAACCTCGCAGCAACGTAGGATGGGATTTTCCAGCTAAAAAGCGCAGACGCTTATCAGGACAAAAGGTGTTTCTAAACCGTAATTTCTTCTGTGTTAACCGCTGCAAAAGCGTAAATACCTCTTTATTAGGTTATCCTTGTGTTTTCTGTTTTCTTAATGTCGGCGATGGACAGTCGTAGCCTGAGTCCGGAGAAGGAAAGGTAATAAATTCACAGAAATTCTGTTGCTTATTTGGATAATCAATTAACGCGGGACATTAGATCTAAAGCGGTGACTATTGACGACTATTCGTCACTATTCGCCACTTTTCGCGACTGTTCGCCACTATTCGCACTATTCGCGACTATTCGCTATTCG